AGTGTTCAATTTGGCAAATATGATGAGAGTCCTTGGCAATATCTTAGACAGTGGGGCCTCGGATTTGGTTATAAGATACATTTCATGCCTTGATAAATTTGCAGTCTCGCTGAAGAGTTGGACACGTGCAAAGTTAATGAAAGGTATTGGTAAAAGTAATATCTGAAGCCAAAGAGCTAATTACCTGTTACCGGGAGGACTAAGGAAGGTTTCGTGGGGAAGATGGCATTTCAGCTGGATTGCTGGCACGTGTTAAAGACTTTCTGGTGGAAAGACGTCAGCAACTTCTCTGTTTTCAGATTGCAGTGGGGTTTCATCTTATGGTGGGAGGGGAAATATTATATGGGTTTTGAGGTCTCAAGGTGTAGGTATCCTCATAGGCAGATACTGCCCTTGAAAATTCTGTAAATTTCTTGTAAAGTTTTCATGGTTTTGTATTAGCAATCCATGTAATATTTTATACGCATACTAAAATTTGGGAGTCCTGGTGTGGTGCTTTAGGATAAGTATTAGATTGCTAACTGCAAGGTTGGCAGTTCAAATCCACCGGCCTTTCCTTGGAAACCCTATACAAGTTCACTGTGAGTCAGAACTGTCTCCATGGCACTTCACAATAACAACATTAAAATTGAGACCTGAAACCATTATGTAGACAATTAAGTAGTCATTCCATTCTTTTTTGAAAAGAAAAAAACAAAAACCCAAAAAAACTGCTTCCCAGCAGGACTTACTCCTTTCTGTTTTTAATATTAAGGCTTGTGGTAGCGTAGTCTGACTGCTAACCTAAAGGTCAGAAGTTTGAAACTACCAGAAAGATGAGACTTTCTGCTTCCGTAAAGATTTACAGCCTTGAAAGCCCTATGTAGGATCACTAGGAGTTGGAACTGACTCCATGGCACACAGTCACCACCATCACCCTTAATAAGGAGTCCTGTTATGGTGCTGTAGGATAAGCACTGGACTGCAAGGTCAGTTTGAGTCATAAGGTCAGGGGTTCAAACCCATCAGTTGCACTTTGGAAACCCTAAACAGGGTCGCTATGAGTTGGAATCAACTAGATAGCATTTAACAACAACATCCTTAATAAAGGGGTCCTGGTACGGAGCCGTAGGATAAGTACTGGACTGCTAGTCACAACATCAGCAGTTCAAACCCACCAGCCAGTCCTTGGAAATCCTATACACGGTCACGATGAGTCAGAACAGAGTGGACAACACTTAAGAACCACCACCATCTTCTTTAATAAGGAATCCTAGTGACTAAGAGGTTAAGCACTTGACTGAAAGATTAGATGTTCACATCTCATCCCCACTCTGTGGGAGAAAGATGTGGGAGTCTGCTTCCATAAAGACTTACAAACATGAAACCCTGTGGGGTAGTTCTGCTCTGTCTTAGAGCGTCCCTGTGAGTTGGAATGAACTCCACTACAATGGGTCAGTGTTGTTAAATTGTTAAGTGCTGTCAAGTCAGTTTTAACTCATAGCAACTCTGTATGGGGTTTCCAAGGAATAGCGGGTGGGTTTGAACCACCAACCTTTCGGTTAGCAGTCCAGTGCTTATCCTATAGTGACACACCAGCACTCCTTAATGCATGTTGTTGTTGTTAAGTGCCATTGAGTCGGGTCCGACCCATAGCGACCCTGTACAGGGTTTCCGAGGGTGTAAATCTTTACGGGAGTAGAAAGCCTCATCTTTCTCCCGTGGAGCGTCTGGTAGTTTCAAACCGCTGACCTTAAGGTTCGCAGCCTGATTCGTAACCACTACGCTACCAGAGCTCCATGTACAGCACTCATAATGTGTGTCAATCGATCTGCTTGTTATTTTAAGAGTTAAACGAGGCAAAGTGAGGAACAACTTCAGGTTGGTAGATAGCAGGACCACAGTAAACACTTCCACCAATCAGTGGGTTTGTCACACTGTGGCGGCTTGTGTGTTGCTGTGATGCTGGGATGCATGGTGTGGTCTTTGCATCCAAAAGTCCTTAAGTACATCTTGTTCTTTGAAGTGCTGTGAAGGAAGATTTAGTCACCTATTTCCTGTCTTCCCAAGGTGGCATTTCCTCTGTGGCTGTACTGACCAGCGGCTATTCTCATATCCTTGGAGATTGATCTCATGAATCCTTTAAAAAACCACATCCTACTTGGAGGTTTGGGTTCTAAAGTTAAGAGCTATAGCCTTTGGTCATCAGATTTCTAAAGTCAGCATTGGTCTGTCCTACACAAGCAGTAAAGAAACGCAGCACTTTAAATTGCCTGAGAATTTCTGTAGCAGGAAAGCTGACACAGAATCTCGCCATTCCTCTAAATCAAGGGTGGGGAATGTCCGGCCCGTGGGCCGTATAAGGCCCTTGAAATAATTGGTTCTGGCCCTGCCAAGGCAACCGCAGTTCCAGCCATCACAGTTGTTGTTATGTGCCGTGGAGTCAGTTCCGACTCATAGCGACCCTGTACAGGGTTTCCGAGGCTGTAAATCTTTACGGGAGCAGAGAGCCTCATGTTTCTCCCGTGGAACAGCTGGTAGTTGCAAACTGCTGACCCTGAGGTTAGCAGCCCAATTCATAACCACTATGCTACCAGAGCTCCTTATGAGGATTAAATAAATTGAGATTTGTAAGGGATTTGGACAGGGGTTGATATACAACGAGCCATACATTGAGTTGGTCAAATAGCCTAAGTTCCTTCCAATTCCTTTTAGAATGTCCAGCTATTTTGATCCAGGAACTAGGATAGCACTTCTCTTTTTAAAGTCCAGATTTCTGAGGGCTTCATGACTACAGTAATCTGAGGAAGAATTGGGTAAAAATAGAATTTTTCGAGCCATTTCAAAAAAGTTCAAGTTGCATTGGTTGTGCTGTGCTTCACTAACGCTTAGTTGATTTGTAAAGGGTTTTCAACTTGATCCTTTTTACCCCCTTCCTTGCTTTGTAGCACATTGCTAAATTTTGATATAATATTTCAATCATATATTTATGTAACTGAGACTCGGTTTCCCTACTTGTAACCTTACAAAGATGCAGCAATAGCATGGAAATGGTGTCTAGCCTCCTTCAGCTTTACCAGGGCAAAGGAAAATCAAACTCCATGTCAGCCTAAGGCCAATTCCTGTGAGGCAGGTGTCAGACATGCCTCCACCCTCCGGTCTTCTTTACCATCCCCCTCAGAGTGCTCTGAATCTCTGGTAATCTGTTGTAATGGCCACACAGAATTTATAGGCAATACTCACAATTAGGAGATTTATTTATAAGGTACAATTGAGGATCAGAAACAACTCAGGAGGCCGCAGTTCTGTGGTCAGGAACACCTCTTCTCATACGTAAATACCTCTCTCATCCTTGGCCTCTAAGTCACATGACCCCTTGGGCTCTGCCTTGCTAGGTCGTAAATCTTTATGGAAGAAGAAAGCCTCATCTTTCACCCGCTGAGCAGCTGCTGGGTTCAAACTGCTGATCTTGTGGTTAGCCGCCCAGCACGTAGCCAGGGATCCTTACCACGTTTTATATATATACACGACTTGATGGCACTTCACAACAACAACAAATATATATATAATGTATATATATGTGTGTATATTATATATGTATGTAAGTTGTTAGGTGCCGTAGAGTTGGTACCAACTCATAGTGACCCTTTACACAAGAGAACGAGACACTGCCCAGTTCTGTGCCAACCTCACAATTATTGCTACATTTGTGCCCATCACTTCTGCCACTGTGCCAATCCATCTTGTTAGGTCTTCCTCTTTTTCCTGGTGTGGCATTGTAAAATAAGCATTAGACCACAAGGTCAATTTGAACCACAAGGTGACAGTTCAGACTCACCAGTTGCTCCCTGAAAACCCCATATGTAGTCACTATGAGTCAGAACCAACTCAGCAGCACTTATTATTTAGTTATTATTCAACAGTTTCACTATTTACCTGCAACTCCTACTGCTAGGAGCCTCTGGGTAATGCAAACTGGTCATGTACTCAACAGTTAACTAAAAGGTTGGAGGTTCGAGTCCATTCATAGGAATCTAGGAATAAAGGCTTGGCAGCTTACCTCCAAAAAATTAGTCCCTAGAAACCTGTAAGGAGCAGTTCTACTCTGACGCACATAGGGCCACTCTGAGTCAAAATCAACAACCACGACTGTTGTTTACTACATAGTCCCTGGTTTCAAGAGATGAAGCAGTCACTAACTGGGTGAAGCGTAACAGCATCCCAGGAAGTGAAGATTGATTATATTGCTGTCACCCTAAGTTATGGGATGTGAATCACTTTCCTATGCTTTTGTGTATTTTATGAATTTGTCATCATTTCATGTCCATTCATCTGACCTTCCTGACTAGCCACATTGTTAAAGAAGGGTGACGCTCGGCCTTGTGGGTACCCACGTACCTATTGGTGAATTTGAAGTAAAATTCTGTTTAATAAAAATAAAAGTGTTTACCATTTTACATGTATAACATGGTATGTTTGATGAACATGTCCACCTGGCATTGAATGGTGGGTGCATTACATTTTGCCAGGACTGTGGGATTGTGGGCTGTGGGTCGGTGAGGCAGGGAGAGATTTCCTACACCTATACCGGTGAGGCCCATGAGTTAGCTGTGGAGGCCGGAATGCCCTCCCCCTCACTCGTTTGTTTTTCTGCTTTGATCGTCAGCCAAGCATTTGGCGGTTAGCCATCACATAAAGAAAGCATTGAGAAACTTTAATAATTTTAAAACCTCCAGATGACTTAGTCTTCTTCTTTTAAGTTCCATGAGCATCCAATTCAAAGTAATGGTGAAGGAGGCATCTAACTGTGTATCCATTTCTTTTAAAACACTGCACTATTTTGATTTGGATAGATCTGGCCCACACTGTAAGGACTAGACACAATAAGGCCCGTCTTTATCGGAGAGGCCGTCCTCTGTGTATTGTACAATTTGAGGTTTGTTTTCCTTTGGCTGGCGAGTGGGAGCCTCCCATATTACGAGGAGTAGTAACACTCCTGGAGGCTGGCCTTCGCTGTCATGCCTTCCCACCACGCCAGGCCCTGCAGACGGAGCTTCCAGGCGGGACGGAGCTAGCGGCCTGACCACTTGTGCCTGGGAAGCCAGCTTCCTCTCTGTCCCTGGGCCATTGGCATGCGTCTGCCTTGCACGGCCAGGGGCTCACAGCTGTCCCTGCTGGTCCCCGCTGCAGGCGTTCGGACTTGCTTTCTCAGCCCAGAATGCAGGCTGAAAAATGCAGGACAAGTAGCAGAAATGTCAAGAAAGAGCTGGTGATTGATTCTCCCCTACAGCACAAGGATGCAGCTCAGGGCGAAGTGGAGACGGAGAGCCCAGCTCCAGTGTTGGTAAGAGTTTTCACCAGCAGTGTCCTGGACTGCTGTGTGAGGAGTCGGTGTTCGCATACCCTCAGGGTCATGTTTCAAGCTAGCTCTACTTGTCTTTGGTGAACTCTCCTCTCTTTTCCTGTCATTTGACTTCAGATCCATTTTGATTCTTCTTTGTGAGGAAAAGAACTGTTGACTTTTAAAATTTGTGGGTGCGTGTGGTTTCCAGGAGCCTTCTTTATAAAGAACAATCATGTATTGTTCAGAAGAATGTCCCACTTAGCCCTATAGCTTCCAAACATAACCCAGGGAGGCATTGTTTTATATGCCTTCACTTCATAGGGTTGAAAAGAGATGTCCTTTGCCAAAATTGAAAAACAAAACAAAAGTTTTGCATTATATATTTATGCTGTTAGGAAAATTAGGAGGGAGACATTTGGGGTGGTTTAAGAATGTACCTTTTGAAGACTCAGTGTGTTCTCTTTCACCTGTTTTGCTTATACCAAAGTGAGAAAGGACCTAAACTTTGAACCAATCCATAGGGAAATTTCTCTTCTTAGCATCACCTAAACTACTATAAGGAGTTCTGGTAGCGTAGTGGTTACAAATAGGGCTGTGAACCTCAAGGTCAACAGTTCGAAACTGCCAGCTTCTCCATGGGAGAAAGATGAGGCTTTCTGCTCCTGTAAAGATTTACAGCCTCGTAAACCCTGTTCAGGGTCGCTATGGGTCGGAATCGACTCGATGGCACTTAACAACAACAACAAACTAGTATGGCGCTGTAGGATAAGCCCTGTACTACAAGGTGATTTTGAACCACAAGTCAGTGGTTCAAATTCACCAGCCCTTCCTCAGAAACCCTATACAAGGTCACTCTGAGTCGGCAAGGATTCTTAGCAGTTTGCATAAAATCAAGTGCCTTGGTGGACTTTCAAAGGAAGGAATGTGAAAAATGGTTGTGTTATCCCCAGTGAGTAGGTTGTGCCTCTCTTACAGAATTTCTTTAGTACAATAAAAGCACATAATTTTTTAAAGCAAGCTGCAAAAACCACCAGCAGACGTTGCAGAGAGACAATGGAGCCTTTGAAATGATCTGTTAAAGTGATTGTTAAACTATCCTTAGTGGTTTTAACATGCAGGCTCAGTGGCTATTATCATAAAGTGTTTGGATACTAACTTGGTTAATTTTTAATGAATGTCTTAAAAAGAATCCGAACTTAAAATTTTCTGAATGGCAGGTTTGATTCATATTGGGTTGCTTTCTCTGCGGCGTGTGTGACTGATCACCTTATGTTGAATTGCTTTGAAAGTCATATTCCTGATCCTGAACTGAGAAAGTCTGTAACACAGGATCCTTCTTCTCATCTATGGTTGAATGACTTGAACATCCTCCACGCTGTATAGATTTAACTGGTTAAAGTCCTCAGCAGATGTAGCTTACGATTTCTTGGAGGAAGTGGTGTGGTTTGGGTCTTCCTGGTGAATATTTAGAAAAATCTTCTGTCCGCGATGCTCCAGATATGTAGAAATATTTGTTCGAGGGAATAAATATACGACAAAAAAACCTTGTAGTGATTGTCACGTTTAAGTCACACCAAAGACTTTTTTTAAAAAACTTTGCTGGCTCAAAAACTCGACTGCTCGTCTCCTAGTTATTTGTTAGGTCCCATCTCACTCCCTTCAGTCCCACAGGGTGTTGCTTTTCCATTGAGATGAAGAAGGCTGAGCTGGCTGCCCCTACTGCTGGCGGGAGTGAGTGTCAGGGTCCTGGCCACCGGCCCGCACCTGCGAGGGAAAGGAGAAAGCAACTGTGACAACCAAAAGCGTTTTCTACCTGATTGTATTTATTTCTCTTCTTTAGGGGTAAGTGAGAGAAGAGAGCTAATGTCAGAGTAGAGAAGCAAGCGTGTGAAATCAGAGTCTCCATGTAGCTATCTATCCTGCTCAGGCCTATGTGAATTGAGCAAATTGCTTGAAATGTAACATGCTTTTCAAGATGCTTTTTATTAACATTATATTCCATGGGAGAAAGATGAGGCTTTCTGCTCCCGTAAAGATTTACAGCCTCAGAAACCCTGTACAGGGTCGCTATGAGTCAGACTGACTCCACAACACTTAACAACAACAACACTAGCATTCACAGCATACTTTTTGTTGTTGTGCTATTTCACATTGCAATGTCAGTATTTGGTAAGAACTCCCAAATAAACCAACCCACTGGCCATTGAGCTACTCCACAGGGTTTCCAAAGGTGTACATCTTTATGGGCGCAGACTACTTTATTGTTCTCCCTGGGAGTGGATTTGAACCGCTGACCTTGTGGTTAGTTGTCCAACTCTGAGCCCACTGGACCACCAGGGCTCCTAAAGAATCCCAAGTCTGTAGATAATATAAGGGAATTTTGCTGAGTGATTCTTAAAAGAAGGTAATACACGGCATCCACAAGCTTTGCTGTTGTTGTTGTTGTTGTTAAGTGCCATCGAGTCGGGTCCGACCCATAGCGACCCTGTACAGGGTTTCCGAGGGTGTAAATCTTTACGGGAGTAGAAAGCCTCATCTTTCTCCCGCGGAGCGGCTGGTAGTTTCGAACCGCTGACCCTAAGGTTCGCAGCCCGATTCGTAACCACTACGCTACCAGAGCTCCTATAGTTTTACTTAAATACACAGACAACCCTTGGGCAAAATATTATCATATTGTTTAGGAAGCATAAAAGTATTTAATGCATGTATAATAAGAACTACAGATTAAGGCGCTCTGGTAGCGTAGTGGTTACGAATCGGGCTGCTAACCTCAAGGCCAGCAGTTCGAAACTACCAGCTGTTCTGTGGGAGAAAGATGAAGCTTTCTGCTCCCATAAAGATTTACAGCCTCGGAAACCCTGTACAGGGTCGCTATGAGTCAGAACCAACACCAGGGCACATAACCACCACCACCACAGATCATATGGAAATGGGGAAAAACACTCTGGTACTATAGTGGTTATGAATCGGGCTGCTAACCTCAAGGTTAGCAGTTCAAAACTACTAGCTGTTCCACAGGAGAAAGATGATGCTTTCTGCTTCCATAAAGATTTACAGCTTCGGAAACCCTGTACAGGGTCGTTATGGGTTGGAACTAACTCACGGCACACCACTACCACCAATCTTACTCTTTGGCACTGTAGGATAAGTGCAGGACTGAAAGGTTCGTTTAAACCTCAAGGTCAGCAGTTCATACTCACCAGCCACTCCTCAGAAACCCTGTACTGGATCGCTTTGAGTCTGTACTTAACATCCTGATTCTTGAAAGGTGCCCACCTGCAATAAATTTGTGTATTATATGTTTCTAGACAGTTCCTGTGCCAATAAAAGCAAAATTTATTTGTGTATGTGAATTTCTGAAAAATGTACTAGTACTCTACATTTCTGCAAGCTGATTTTTTCCCCAAACTTTATCATGGACTACTTTCTTTGTCACCGCTTGTTAGATTCATGCCATTATTTTTAAGGCTGCATTGAATTCCATTTTATGGCAGTACCACAGTTTAGAGGCCAAACTTTGTCTCTCATACTTCAGACATATTGCTAGGAGGGACCAGTCGCTCGAGAAGGATATCATGTTTGGTAAGGTGGAAGGTCAGAGGAAAAGAGGAAGACCCCCAGCGAGATGGATTGGGAAAGTGGCAGCATCAATGGGCTCAAGCATGTCAACAGTAGTGAGGTTGGCCCAGAATCAGGCAGTGTTTTGTTCTGCTGTGCATAAGGTCGGTATGAGCCAGTAACAACTCAATGGCACCTAACAACAACAGCAAACAACAACCACAGTTTGATACATTATCAGTTTGTTTTCAATTCTTTGCAGTGAGTGATACATACCGCCACAGGGAATGTTGGTAAATACATCTTAAAGCACAGATGAGTCAAAACTAGGATGTTGTCTGTAAAGTTCCTACAGTTTCCTCTTGTCCTTTTATGTGGCATCTCTGCTCGCTGCTACAAGAGGTGAGGTTTCCCTTAGCAGTGATAGCTTTTGCAGTGCTAGATGGTCATTCAGTGTTTCTGAGAGACGTGTGTGGTGGACATTGTAAAGTGTCCAAGACTGTTACCATGGTATGGCTTGTCCCCTACTTTGTGGTGGTCTGTGGAGGAGGAAGTGTGTAGTGAGACTTCCTCATTCCTAGCTTAGGCTCCCTGCCAAACCCATTGAGAAATGACTTTGTGGATTGGGAATGCCTAGAGGGGAACAATCAGGGTATTCTTGATATCCTCATGTTACTTCTCCTGCTTACATTTCAATACCTATTTTTGTCCCTGAACTGCTAGTTACTGGAAATAATACTTTTCTAATTGTTACTGCACAGCTATGCTGAGAAACAGGGGGGTGGGGGTGGCCTCAGAGAATCAAAACTGATTAGGATATTTGTAGTTTGTCAACTTTGTTGCTTTCATGAAGCAGGTCAGAACCATAGCATAGGTCTTATTTTGGGGATCTGTCGAGAGGTTGAAAGATTTGTGGAGACAAGCTGAATTTTTCATGTGTTGGGTGTACCTATTGGATTTTTTGGACAGCGTATATTCAGAGACGCTTTTTCTGTTTTTGAGATGTTTCTGGGATCTTTTTAGTGTTTAAAAAATAAAAAGTGGGATCCGTAAATATGTAACTGGCTATTGTAGGTAAATAAGTTTGTAAGATGCCAGTGTGTGCTGAGTTATAAAGGAGTAGGAGACTTGGTTTCTGGTTGAGCAAACTAGTATATTTCTCAAGAACCCTATTATCTCTTCCAAAGAGAAAGGTAATGAGACCAGATAACATTTTCTATCCCTGAATTCGGTTTATTCTAGAAGTTAAAATAAGTGAATTAAGATTCAAGTCCTAAAGTAAAAGCTATGGGTAATGATCCTGTTGCTGTTAATATTTGAGAAGACATTAGATGGCTGTGATGGAGATAAAGTATATTTATGCAGAAAACTCTGTCACAAGACTTTTATTTAGAAATGATTAATGATATTTCATTGATAATATTTAATAAGTAGGGCTTTTT